TTTACTTTTATTTGAATTTGTTTTCAAGTAAGCCTGGGATTTGCATAGGTTTGTGGTTATTATATTTTTGCATTAACCAATTCTACCCAGTGGGTCCATTATACCAATTGGACAGGTAATTTATTTTTATTTGCTATGAAAAGTTCATCTTCTAAATCAACATATTTAATGAACTTACATTTATAACGTATTAAAATAATTTATCATATAGTTTTGGTATCATTTGATGGTCCTTTAGTTTCTATTTTATTGCTTTGGAATGGTTAACGTAACAACATTTTTTAAAAAAAATTAAAAAACATATGTGGACAAGTCTAGTTATGGGTACTCATCAGAAACACAAACATAAGCTATATATGAATTAGCTACAAGACAGAGAGCTGTACAATTAGATCCATTTAGATATTCGACTTGTTTTTAACTCTCGGATTCAAGTTAACGATTTGAATTTTAAAAAATCTCAGTAATAATTTGAAAACCCAAGATGATGAAAATATTACTTTCAACGTAATTTTCCTAAATAGACCAAATATAATTCTAAGGAAATTTATGAATAAAGGAACAATACAAAAAAATATACAAAAAATGAATGAATTGCTCATATTTCCGCTTCTCCTTCTCCTTCTATTACGACATTTCGTAAACTCTTTCCCTCTTGCGTGGCCTCTGTTTTTCAGCTTGAACCAATCGCGTTGACAGCACAATTAGCTTTTCTGGTTTTAGACACTTGACCTTCCTCTGGGCGGTGCGTTGGCTCCTAGTACAGCATCAATGCCAACTTGCCTCCACTAAATACCGTACATATTCTCTTAGAGTGAACTTAAATTTAGCGTCTTCGAAGACAAAAGGTAAATAATTAGTGCCTACGATACTATTGCTTGCAAAACTGTCAAACATTGAAACAATTACCTTGGTAGTCTATGCATGTTATCATAGAATGCAAATTCAGATGATTACTAATACTGATTTGCAGGTGTGTGTGTGTGTGTGTGTGTGTGTGATTTAGATTTTAGACGTAGGTTTAACAATTTTTCAGTCATATCTCTACGATGCCTGCAGTATGACAGTTTATAGTGATGTTTTAGCACTGGGGCATCGGCGTGCCGCAGACATGTAGCATGATGTCCCACCCAGTCACATAATCCTGACACCAGGCCGACCAATCTTAACACTAACTTCTTAATGCTGAGTGCCTAGCAAGGCAGTTGTTAGTATCATTTTAAAGTCTTTGGTAGGACTGGGTCGGGGTTCGAACCCAAGACCTTCCGCATCTGAGGCAGACGCTCTACCATTTGGCCACCGGAGCGGTTGCATTGCAGTTAAACGTATGTTTATCTGTTTGTTTGTCAGTTGGTTTGTCTGTCTGTCTGTCTGTCTGTCTGTCTGTCTGTCTGTATGTATGTATGTATGTATGTATGTATGTATGTATGTATGTATGTATGTATGTATGTATGTATGTATGTATGTATGTATGTAAAACAAAATTGTCATTGGTAATACCCTTCATTGGTGTAATTTCATTATCTTTATCAAAGTTAATAACACTAATGTACAGGATAATCACACTACTAACTGACTGATTGAAACTTAGTCTTTGCTGAATTGGACCTAGGAACGGCATAATTCAGGGTTACCTATGTGTGAAAATGTTTGTGAGAAGAATAAATTAGGAATATACCTGGAGAAAATATAATAATTTACATTAGGAAATAATCGTTCAGCCTTACGCATTTTTTTGAACTGTCGCATGCCAGGTACAACATACGCGTAAAAGAAAATTAAAACACTCAACCAGCATACGAATCGAAACGAAAAAAAAAATGATTCAATCATGTTAAATTTGTCAACATAATCTTCATTTGAATTGTGTGTGCCCAATTTGAATCCAATTTAGCAAGATAATTGCCTAACTTCAATCGTTCTGATTTACGGAAAAGTGGTGTAATTTAAACATTGCGCCTACCTAAATAGTGTCAAGGTTGCCACCACTGTGAGATTTTGGTTGTACGGGATTGGGGGTGGGGCGCTTCCGATATTAGATTATTGTAGCAGTCCCACCCAGGCACGATTTTGGTTTGGAAGTTGATTTGGTGAAAACTAGATGTACAGCTCTGAGCCCCCAGTCAGCCTTGCCGACAGTTAAATGATTAAAGAGTGAAGTTTAATAATAACATTTTAATAACAATTAAATGATCAATAATGCGAATTTCCCAAATATACTTCTTCCGCTCGACACTTTTCTAGCCTATTGCATCATTTGATTCGTAGTGTGAGATATTCCCACCTGTCCTGGTGTTCTACTCATCTGTGTATCCTGCTCTATACGTTGTCGACTCCGACCGCACTGTCAGTCTCACTTCTGTCTCCCTTTTAGAGACTCGGGACTACGAAACTTGCAACGGAAGTTCAGTCCCCGAAAAGCTTACTGTGAAGACACGCGATTGGTACAATATTTCCCTCAGCGTTCACGTCTCACACTACACACAGCCTATCATCAGATAATGGCTATTAAATTTCAATGGTCACGCATTCATTCACACATAAATACGCATGCATTCTTGTATGGTAAAACACAACATAATAAAAACCAACATGATAAAAACGCGGTATTAATTACTCGTATATATACAACAATAACTTGATAAACATCAGTACATACTCATAATTCCATTACACAAACCAATAAACAACAATCAGACGCATATCTTTACATCACAACTCATGCCAAATATACTAATATTCAGATATCCATGCTCTTATATATTCAAACATATATTGTAACTAATATTCATCAATCATTTTCCTAAACTCCAATTCAGATATGCGTAAACTCTAACATAACGCATTACTAAAGGTACTGGCTACTAACCTTCCAGCGAATTACAATATCAACTCTAACGAACGAGCAATCTTCATAGTTCTCTATATAAGCTCAAATTCATGTCTAAAAGACGGTTATAAATGAAACACTACAAGGTAATTCTACATACTAAAACAATCACAGTAATTAAGTATACACACTACCAATAATTACAATTATGACTTCGCATTGTTTTGCAAAATCGAGCAAATAACTTTCCGACCTTGTTGAAGCTTTTCATTCTCTTAAAATTCTGGTCCTAAGATTCCTGCCAAATTACGAGTGGCTTTTCCCGGAGTAATCATATTTGTACAGCGATCTGTCTAGGCATCTACTAAAGTTTTAAAAGCAAGTTTTAGTTCTAATTCTTAATTCCTATCTTAATTCCGATTGGATGTCGCTGTGGACTGTCCCAATCAAACATAGTGGACAATGTCTTTTCGTTTGTCTGTCTACGTGGCGTGCGTCCTTTTGATCTCTGAACCAATGTTTAACTCCTGTGTGTGAAGACTACAGGCCTTTGACTAGTGGCTATTCTATAGTTTGAGTGTCTGGTAACTTGCAGTTATAATATCCAAGTATATACATCCTGCTAACCTGGACTGCGGAATTGTGACAAATATTCATGCGACTTGGAGCTGATTTGAATATATATTTATTAGACACTGATTGTAGACTTAAAAATAAGTCGCATACAGTACAGTGAAAAGTATGGTTAAAAAGCCTTCGTGTGTATCGGTGTCATTTGACTTTCCCAAGGAAAACCCTACCTTGCTTATCTGGTGTTTGTGATTTGGATTTTTAACGTGGCTTTAACAATTTTTAGGTCATATCGGTACGATGTCTGAACTATGGCAGTTGATACAGATGTCTAGCACTGGGGCATCATGCCGCTTACATGTAGCATGATATCCCACCCAGTTAAAATATCATAACACCAGGCCGAACAGTTCTAGCACTAACCTCTTAATTCTGAGCGCCTAGCGAGGTATATGTAAGCACCATTTTTAAAAAGTCTTTGGTATGACTCGGCTGGGGTTCAAACCTGCATCCTCGCGCATCCTCGCTTATCTGGAGTAAGTATATTAGACTTGGCCGGGGTTCGAACCTGCAGACTCGAGCGTCCCTCGCTTATCTGGGATAAGTATATTATTTAACCGAACCATATTAATGAGACATTTAATCTGAAGAAGTAAAAATACCGAGTATAACAACTTTAAGAAGTCGAAATTGTACAACAAAATGAGTTTGCTAAAGAATGTACTCAAAGAGTTTAAATATACTGAATATGAAAAGAGACTTTAAACTAATCCCCAAATGGACGAGTGTTCTAAAGCGCTGACCTTTACCGATCACTGCCATCTCGCCTCTGTCCGCTTGAATTCGGGTGTCGTGCTTGCCCAATGTGGGTACATGAGAAAGTTTGCCAGTAACTTCATGTGGGTCGGAGGTTCTTATAGGGTGATATCCCGGTTTCTTCCTCCACCGTTTATATTGACTGCTGTATGTAAATCATTTTGCGCTTAGAAGTTGCGTTAAACCCAAAACAAGACTTTAAATTACCATTTTTGTGGTAGTTCTGGATTGTCCTTCACTCAAGAAGCCTCTTTTTTTTTTTCTGCCGATCGTTTGATATTTCTTTAAAAGCACGTTTGTCTTTAACGTGATCCAGTTTCATGAGTGCACCGAACCGGGAAGATGTTCATGATTTAGGATACCACGAGTGTTCGTTTTAGAAAAGCACTGTTAACAATGGACATTGGGCTAACCTTGACAATAATAACGATGATAATCCTTATGTATAAAGCATATAAGAGTGTAAGACAAATATCGTCCATTGCACCATTACATCGTATTTTCAGGATTTGTAACAAGATGTGTGTGTGTGTGTGTGTGTGTGTGTGTGTGTGTTTGTGTGTGTTAAACGTATCTTGTATCTTGAGCAATCTTTTAGACAGTCATATAACTACGCTCTTTGCTGTGTGGTAGTTTATATTGATGAGTACTGGGCCATCGTGTTGCATGATGCCACACCCAGTCACATTATTCTGATGCCATTCCGACCAGTCCTAATACTAACCTCTCAACGCTGACAGCTTAGCGAGGTAGTGGTTAGTGCCAATTTGATAAATCTTTGGTATGACCCGGGGATTGAACCCAAGACCTTCTGCATCTAAAGCGGACGCTCTAACCACTTATGCCACCGAATCGGCTGTAATATAACCAGATGACTAATAAGTTCTTATCTAGCTAAAACTACCACCTTTCTTGTGAAAAAGTTGAAGAATAAAATATTTTTCGACACAAATTACAAGCTTCAGTAAGCAATTTCTTTTAGAAATTAAACTGCAAAAAGTACAGAACAATGAATTACCACCGCTTAGATGTGTATGTTTAACACAATATCGGTACAAAGTGATGAAAACGTAACATTTACCAATGACATAAGCGGCTATGTAAACTGTTATACTCTTCGCATACATTTTACTAGTATTGATACAGTGCTGGATTTAAGACAAATGAGGCCCTCTGCTAGTTAAGTATTGGGGCCTCTTACTTTGGCCCTGAAGTAGGCAGACCCGGTAGGCCTACACAGATAGTCAGGCATATATACTCATGAAATTTAGGATTAGTTAAAATAGTCACATACTTTTGAAAACTTCCTGGTAATTTAAGAAGATGGGCCCCATGGCCAACAGGGGCCCTGTACTTAAGCACACTTAAGTATAATGGTAAATCCGCCTTGTATTTATACATTTTATTTACTGGTACCTTTGAACTTTGAAAACAACTAAGATTATGTCTTTGTGCGTTTCAACAAGGATATTTCAGCATCAAACTCAATTTCAGCCTTACAATAACGTTGTTAAGGCGTTGTGTGTTAGAAGGGTAGTTCAGTCAGAAACAATACACCCCAATTTAGATCGTTACTTAATTCTGGTTTGCAATCAAGACTAGTTTTTATTTCTTTGTTCTCAAACTTGATTATGCATATGCTGATAGTCAAAGTCACTAATTCAAATTTTGTATTTAATCCAAAATAGTTTGTTATTAAATCTTTAACAATTTCTGTAGCGTGTAAAATGTCTAAGTGACAATGATTAAGGAAAAGAAGCAGGTCGTGTAAGATGATTCAATGACAATTTATACGATTTACACAAAAAACTATATTAAGTATATCAACGCATGAAACCTGTTCTTATCTTATTTTGAGTTTGTTTTTGATCACTTATGAATGCTCATCATTGTTTACATATATATAAATTTTGTCATATTTTAAGATAAGTTTAACCTGAGAGAGAGAGAGAGAGAGAGAGAGAGAGAGAGAGAGAGAGAGAGAGAGAGAGAGAGAGAGAGAGAGAGAGAGAGAGAGAGAGAGAGAGAGAGAGAGAGAGAGAGAGTGTTTCGAACTATGAAAATATCACATGCATAGGAGAATATATACTTAAATGCGATAATAAAAAATTCCAAAGTTTATATTGCCACAGTGGCAATACAAATTTTATTTCCACTGATTCAGTATCAGTTTTTCTACTTCACCTATATTTAAATATCTCATTATGAAATATATAAAAAAATAATTTTACATAATGTTGAATCGTGAAAGACGCACTGATAGGCAATGCTCAATATTGGTCTGATACTCTCTCCAGTATATCATAAGAGCAGACTAATGGAGACAAGTCGTGGTTAGCATGCTGAAGATCCAACTTAAAGGGTGCTGGTTCGAATCCTAACTTCACATCACACTGGGTCGCCTACTGTGTGGTGACCTTGGGCAAGGTACTCTGTTGCAGCAGTCTCTGGCTAAACGACTCGTTTCTGTGCCGTATAACAGTTAACCTTACTGTTTATTAATGAGCGTATATTTGAAATTGTGCATTATTACTTCGACTTTTATAATTTATAATAATATATAATAATATGTAATGGTACGATAAAATAATTATTGAATAAAAAACTATTGACGATAATCGACCTCAATATGCGTAATCGTTCCAGCGTTGATTGAATATAAAGTTGGTTGCCTTCATTTTGGGCTCAGGAAATGTTGCGGTCAAGAGGCAGATCCAGAAATATCCTTGTCGGTGGTGGCGGTGGTGGTAGAGTGGTTAACAGGAAGTGCAGAAAAGAGATGCCATTTTTAGCAAAGGAGAAATGATACACTTCTTTCGCGTATCGATACGATTCATGCTATATTATCGATGCACATATCAGCTTGATGTTCATTTAATCTTTAGAAGGTCTCTCATTGATTGACATATTGGTTCTATTTCTAGAATACATATTATAGACATAGACAAACCATATGCTTATATGACATTTGTTTTCATTCAGAACAAAATAAAATAACTACTTTAAAAAGTTCTACCAGTGTCAGTGGTTTTTATTCAGCCTCATGGGTCATTTCAGGCTGTTCAATTTGATCAAACACTGGACTGACCTTGATAACCAGGCCCTTTGTTGAGAAATGCACGAATGCTTGTAAAACATTTTATAGGCAATTTTATGCCTTCATGATACTGTTATCATCAAAACAAGAAATAGTGTAATGCAGGAAAAACCTTGTTAGAGGTGCTTAATTTTGTTATTGGTGGCCATATTTCACGTCAAATACGTATCATTTTAACAAAATTTCAAGGATGCATCTATTAGATTGACTCAATATCTTTTGAGCGGCTGTTGAGTAAAATTATTTTTAAAGTTGTCGTTTTAGTACATAGCGACTGTAAATGAACGAGACGCATAAAACGCATGGCAGTCGATGGATTGTATCGTAAGTTCAGCCAGTCTCATGGCCAGGTGAGTTATGTAACTATGGTTTCCAATATCATTGAAATTTATAACGTGTACAGTCCACTTCTATTTGATATAATTTTATATTCATTAACGTCCTTAGCAAACGTTTAAACAAGTTTTATATGATACGAAACAGATTTGTTTTCCATCGTTTTTGAAATTACTTTCTCTATATATATATTTTTAAAATTACTAACGCGAGGGGCTCCTGTGAGTGCGAGGCACTATTAAACCTACATCGGTTCAACTGGTCTATGGCCGGCCCTGTTTATTTTCCTCCCCCCTCAAACAATTTGATAACCATAGGCAAAAGTTTATTAGAAGTAAAGCCAGGTTACATAATAATTGACATTTTTATGTCTCCCTATATATGAATATGTATGGTAGACACATATGCGGACACCCCTATTTAAAATGAATTTGATTGAAGCGAGGCGCGTTGAATTTCAGAATATTTCAATTTCAACCGCGAAACCCTTGTTTACGATTGCTTAAATGAGAGGTCGGAGTTTCATATAGAACCAACCCCAGATTCATTGAATCGAGGTAGAGAGCTCGGTTGTCAAGAGTATGAAATGGAAATGGCACAGTCGGAGATTGCTATTGTATTTTTTCCTCCAGAAAGCAAATTTGTAAAGTTCGAAATGTTTTACGTTATCTTCTACATAACAGACCACCTGCAAAATAGAAAAAGTGTAACAAAACATCAATTATTGTTTAGAAAGGGTTTCTTCAGTGAATTCACTATCAACCACACTAACAAAGATCTAACACTGGTTTGAATGGTACATCCTTTATTCATTAGAGGTAATCCGGGGCATTGGTAAAGTGAAGCGACTATATAAAGTTATAATGGTGAAAGATTTAAGTCCGTGAGGAAGTTCATATTAAAGTACCGGCCAATATTTAGTTTAAGGGCTGCAATGGGTACCAAATTTAGGATTCAAGTACTCGAAGCTGCAAACCCGGCTCGACCTCGAATACTCGCGATTGCAGCTGGCAATGACATTCTCTAAACTTCAGCGAACATGCCATCCTACCCACTCACCTCTTCCTGGACAATTTGAAAAAAATTCGAATATAAAGTATTACGACATTTGCCACCGATAAGAAACGCATGACAGTGTGGAATTGTACTGTATGAAGACGGGTTGGCTGTATTAAGTTCTTGCAAAGATCGCATACTCCGCTGTCGTCATGAAAGTCGAATATGTTAGCTAAACATTTGCAAATATTTTGATAGTCCACAGAAAGTATAGCTTGTAAAAAGATTCGGTTATAGGTTAGTCACAGAGTCCTCCCATGCTGTTCTAAGACAGTGTAATGCAGGCATTATAATATTTACATGATACGTAAGAAAAATAATAAAAGCTCCAGTGGTTGCCTTAAAGGCAGATATAATTGAATTGAGAAGAAAGTCATAAAAACATGTATTCCAAATGTAAGTAGGAGTATTCTCTTTCTTTTGTTTTGCGACTAAGTCCCAAAATTTGGACTCGAATTTAAGGTGCACCCCACTCGTATTCGAGTACTAGTTGCAAAACTACGAGTTAGTTTGTCGCCTGCACGGAGTAGCCAAAAAATTATAAATTTTTAGGACGAGAAATCTTGACATAAACATATTTAATGAGACAAACCCACTTAAAATATTAATATTCATTTTAATAACTAATTCTAATTCACATTAACTTGGTACCTATACATACATGATTAGTATAAAATTACAGGATAAAATTCGTTTTGAGTTGTTAGTTCAAAATAATGAGATCGAGAAAATCTGTTTAAACAGTTGTTTTTTATGATATTTTGAATAATCAAAAACTTTCTGAAAGTAAATGGAATCTTTCTCTCTGAATGGAAATTCGGCCTTCTCGCATACGTGGTCATTGAATGTTATATCAGTCAGCACGTGTGTTTGTTATAACATTTTCAATGTTCGACAACTCTTCATAGCCCGTTGTAATATAGCCTTTTTAACTTAAGTAATAATTCAACGTTGTTGGGCTTTTGCAATGATATAAATCCGAAAGCCTTTGCCAGTTTCCCTTATTTTCATCTTACCAATATGTACATTCATGTTGCTGATATTTTTATCGTCAATTGCCATTTTTTTGCGAACAAATCAGTAACATTTAAAGGGACGTAATTCATATCTTTTGAGAACACCAATTCCATGGTGTTCCGCATCAAGTCGCAAATAAGAAGTGTTGACAAATGACAGATGCTTTCATGTTCCGTTTAAATCGTTAAATGTAGCTAGATAATTTAAAGTTGTTCTGGCTGCTGCTGAAGTTTATGTCTTGTATCAACATCGTGGCTGACGGTAGATGGTGATACAGCCTGAAGTTTATGTCTTGTATCAACATCATGGCTGACAGTAGATGGTGATACAGTCTGAAGTTTA